ACAGCAATTCCTGCCTTTATGGGCTTACTTTCAAGGTAACATTTGAGGACAAGAGGAAATAAGCCACGTGTCTGTCTGGCAAGAGAGAGACATGCAAAGAAAGCAAATGATACAAAAGACATAATAGGGGCCACATTTGAGAAGCAGTTAGGGTTCTAACAGGATGAAATGATACATATCAGGAAAATTCAGTCCTGTTCCCTCCCTCTGCTGAGAGAGACCATTTACAAAGGTGTAGATAGGGAGTTTTTCTCTAATTTACCCCTGGAAGCATGGGTTATGGACACATGATGTTTAAAGACTAAATCTATTTGTGAGTTTGGGTTCTGCATGGTGGTGGTAGCATGGGAGCCATCACAAACTTGGCCCAGCCCCGTGAGGCTTCCTAAATCATAATGTAATGTCAGCTTTCAGGGCCCTGGGCATTTATCCCATCATGGAATGCCTTTAAATTGCACTTCACCATGGAAAGAAACCCAAGCCTCCTCGGTCACGTCAGAGGAGGACAGACACCTCTCCTGTCCCTCCGTATGGAAGTCATTGTTGCCTTTTCATGGAGAGAAAATTACAGATTGATGGAGCTACATTCTCATAGACACTTGGGTGTAAGAGCATTTACACAAATGTATGCTTTGGGCATCTCCCCTCCCCACTCGGGAGACGATGTCTTAATTATTTCGACCGAAGCCAGACCATGTTGTGTGCTGTAAACATCTGGTTTATCATTCATCCAGCTGAACTGGTTTATATTTTGTTAGAAGAAAAGGCTTTGGATTAAAGGCATTTAAGTAATTAAACACATGTCAAGACAATTTGGTGATGGGTAAATATAGTCTATGTTCCATGCACTGTCTGGGGGCTCTGGTTTAGATTTACCTCCGGCTGGAGTACAAGGGATGAAAGCAGAACGCCGGGTGGCGTGGGCCCTGTTCTGGGGGGATCAAAACCAAATGGGTTTTCGGGAGTTCAGGACCATTCCTCTAAGTACCTGTCCCCACAGAGCAGAGTTTCCTTTGAGTTTGGCCTGGAGGGAATAGAGCTGTAGTCCCTGTCACCAAAGGCCACTTGCAGATTTAATGAGTCTCTCTCTGGGAGGCAGACCATGAACTCTGCTTTGATTGGCCCTCTGTGTACAGAAAACCAGAGATGTCTCCGAGGCTAAATGCTAGGCCTCGGGTTTGTGTTGTGAGTTTGTGTTTTCAGGTACCAGTCCTGGGCTTGAGCCCGCTGTACTCTGGCCCTTGGCCCCAACTCTATGGATACAGAGGGCCAGTGTTGGCTTGGCTGAATCAGGCTATTGCAGAGAGAGCTGTGACTGGTGCTGAGCAAAGAGGAAGCCCAAACCTTATTCTTTGGGGACTATAGTTCTAACAGCAATAACTAGGAAGTACCTGGTGATTTGATAGGACTTAGGGATCAGTGAGGGTGTCTCCAGTGAGCTGTGCTTTGAACCGAGGCACTGCTTCTTTCTGTGGCCAGAGGGAAAGAAAAAATGCCCCCCCACCATGTGTTCTCCTTCTTCCTGGCCCCCTTCTGGGAGTAAAGGAGGAGAGGCTGGGTCTTTCTCTCTGGGCCTAGAGTAGAGAGGAAAGACTATCAGTGTGATCCTGAAGAAGAAAGCTTTGCCATTATGGCCAGATGGATGGTGTGTGATGGAACCAATTAACCCGTTTTTGTTGAAAAGCAAGGAAAAATTTCAGAATTTCAATTTTCAAAGCAGAGACTCTTTTTAAAACAACGTTTGATTATTTTCTTCTTTCAAACAGATTTCCATGCTTGTTTGGGGGTAGAATCTTGGTTTCTGAAGTCTGTGGGTGACCTAAGAGGCCAAAACAATTCCCATTCTTGGGTGAAGTGGATGCATAGTGACATTTCAACTTGCCTTGCCTCTCCTCATTCCTCTTTCTTTTATGTCCTATTCCCTCCCTCTGCTCAGCAGCCAGTGATTGGGGTTGACCATATGACCCCATCTGAAAAAGAGGAGGCCCATAGCCATGGGAGACAGAGACATGGTCCGTGATAGCTTGTGGGGCCTCTGGTAATTGGGTTAGGATGACATGAATCCTATGGGCTCCAAGGCAAAGAACCATTTGTTGGGCTTCCTGTTAGGAAGCGAACTAATGAAATGGAGTTTAAAGTTTCTTCATCAGCACAGAGTGCCAAAAATTGACATAGTGAGGTAGGTGGGTGCCTGTGATAAATGGGAAGGGTTGTTGAGATAAGTTTAGCTCTCAGGTGGATACTCTTAACAACCGTTATTCCTTCTTGTTCCCCGAGGGGAACTAAATGCCATAAATACAAGACAAAGGTGAGAGGAGAGTGCTCTCTGACCTCAAAAACCTTGTAGACCTTTGGGAGGCAAAACAGTGAGCAAAAAAATGTCGTAGAAGTGAAGTAAGCTGCCTGCTTTAGGCATGCACTGCAAAGGAAGCTTTCTTTGAGATGGGGGTGGAGTACACAGCTTCAGACCTCCAATGATTTGAAATCTTTCTCAGGATCAGGCAGCAGGACCCAGGAGTTCAGGTTGTCAGCCTAATTCTCTCAGACACTCAGCTACTGTGCTCAACAAAGCTGAGAATTAGCAGAAGAGTTCAACACCTGTTTAACTTTTCCCATGCCGTTTTGAGACTGTCTTCAGGGAGTATTACTGCTGCTGTGGCAACCATGGGGTGTGAGTGGGCGGGGGGAGATTAGGTGGGGCTGTGCATGGGGTACGGTCTAGTTGGAGCCCTACCCGCCTGTGATGCTTCAGCCTCTATCCATGTTGACAGCCCTTGTGTAGCTTTGAACTACCCCCACCCCCTCCCGACGTGGGACTCCTCCCCTTGATTATTGTAGGGTGGCTTCACATTGCTGTGGTTATGGCTCTTGAACTGATTAATGATGCTCAGAGTGAAATTGTAGTCGTGCGAGTAGGACAAATCTGCAGCTCATTGAGCCTCGAGGCACCCCTCCTCCACCCGTACTCCCATTACCCACCCTGTGATCCCCCCACTCTCCGGAGTTATTTCTGATGTTTTATGTTCATGCCAAGGAGGAAGCTTAAAATAAGGAAAAGGACTGGCCCTTTGGTGATGCTGCTGCACCAATCACCCAGCTCTCAACTCATTGGAAAGGGCCACTCCAGCTGCGTGCCCACAGTGGCCTCCCAAGGCCTTTGCTTCCACACGGATCCCAGGGCTGGTCTTTCCCATGCCCAGCATCCTAGAACTGAGGCAAATAGACACAGGGTTTGTGAAAGAGGAGGCTGACAGAGGAGAGAGGATTGTTTGAGAGCCTCTATGGTCTCTGGGCTTGTAGGTGGGGCCTTGGGTAGGAAGGGGAGGTAGAAAACCATGAATTTTAATGAGGAACTGTTGTTTAGATTCTTTATCCAAACCTGCCCTGGATCCGGAGCCCTGAAAATGCAGATTTACTTAGAGTGTAGACATCATAAGTGTTTCCCTCCAAAACCAGTTTTCTCCTCTAACTCCTACCTATAGTCTCTCTGGAAAGATTGATTGAGGGCAGGAAATGTGTTTGAGGCAAAGGAAATCATGGTGCACCAGAGATTCGCCCCTCCTCCACCCTTCCATGATTACATGTGCCTCCTGGCATGGCAGGCTCCTCCATACTGGAGCTGGTGAGAAATAATCCCTCCCATCTGGGAGCCAGTGACCCAGGATGGAGTATTCTGAGTTAGACAGAACATACAGACCACTTTATAGTCTCTGAGTAGAACCATGAATGAAACAAGTAAATAACCATCCCTCCATGCTAAGCAGAAGGCTCTTTGTTGAGTATACTACAACAAAGTGAGTTACAGGGACAGAGCCATTCATTCAACATGTACTTAATAGGGCCACTATCTGCAAGTGGTGTGAAATACTATTGAGATTAAAAAGTGAACTCCTTGTTGTGTGATTTTCAAACTTCGTGGTGTCAGGATCCCTTTAGACTTTTAAAAATTATTGAGAGTACCCAAGGGGCTTTTGCTTAGGTGAGTTATATTGATGAATATTTATTATATTAAAAGCTAAAACTGAGAAACTTTGAAAGGACAAGGATGTGCAAACATACATTCCATTAGTGGTCAGGAGGATGGTGTCCTCACGTGTCACAGAACTGCACTGTCTACTCGTGAGAGAATAGGAGGGAGAAAGCAAACAGTATCTTTGTACTATTGTAAAAAATGGTTTTGACCTTATGAACCCCTGAAAGGGTCATGGGGGACTCTCTGGGTTCCCCAGACCAAATTTTGAGAACTACAGCCCCACTGCCCCTACCTCAGACAGCTCGTGGTCCACAGACTAGTCATGGACAGTAATAAGCACTGCTCTGTGAAGGAATAGAAAGGTTCCAGAAATGAGATCAGATAAAGTGCTATGGGTTGTTCTGAAATATACTTTCATGGACCACAATTGTAGTAATTGATATAGTCATTCCTATGCTATCATTGAACATAGATTCTCAGCTGATTTTGGTGGCCATGGAGGTATTGGAGCAGGAGAGTGATTGGACTGGAGAGGTCTGAGTGTGTGAGGACAGGAGGAATGCAAAGTTTGGGAAGACAATCTGATATCAAAACATAACTTTATATTTGGGAAATGAGAAAATATTGTTCTTGCCCTGGCTGGTGTAGCTCAGTGGATTGAGCACGGACCTGTGAAGCAAAAGGTCACAGGTTTGATTCCTAGTCAGGGCACATGCCTGGGTTGCAGGCCAGGTCTCTAGTGGGGGCCAGATGAGAGGCAACCACACATTGATATTTCTTTCCCTCTCTCCCTCCCTTCTCTTCTCTCCAAAATAAATAAATAAAATATTTTAAAAAGAGAAAATATTGCTCTTATACCAAGAACTAAAGTTCGACAAAAACACATGTAGACTGGGAGGTCATAGAGGAGAGTGCAGTGATTCCCAGCCAAGAGGTGGGAGAGGGTTGAACATCTATCAGCAGACTAAGGGTAAATCCAGACACCCCTGCCTTAGAGTTATTGTTTTCATCTTCCTTTCTTCCATAGGTATTAACTCTCTGATAGCAAACAATATCTATGAGGCTGCTTACCCTCTGCATGACGTAAGTACCATTTCTGTCAGCATGTTCTCTGTACTCTTAAAAAACTTGAAAACCATGGGACATGCAGTGGGTGGATATATGTGAAGCGAGGCAGGAGTGAATCATGACGTTAAAATACCTTGGCTGGTTCTGGACTGCTCATGACTAACCGTAAGCCCTGGTTTGATTTTTGTCAGTTGTCTGTCCAGCTGTTTCCCCAATGGCAAAATGAACTGGGTTTGTTTGAGCTTTCCTGACACTCCCTGCCTTTGTTTTGGGGGAAAGTGTGAGGAGACAGAGTCGGCCTGCAAGTAGTTAAAGGGACATGATGTTGGAGAGGGGTGGATGGTAGTGGAAGGAAAGTCTATGGCCTGAATAATACACAACCTGGACAGTCAGACCCTTAAATAAATTGAAAGTGATGTTTTGTATGTGATAGTGTTGTGTAGATGTGAAATTCACCAATCTTAATATGCAAATATACACTAAATGGCATTTAAATTTTTTTTTAACATTTTGAAGGAAATTTCTCAAGATTTTTTATACTAGTGTTTGGTTAAGTTTTAATAAAAAGATTGTAATTAAAGCTTTCCTGGATTGGAAGTCATGTTATAAACATCCCATAATACAATGCAATACAATATATTCTTTAAGATGACTCAAGAAGAACTTAACTGGTCCATGAACTAAATACCCCATGGCTGCACTGTTGATATGATTGGTGACTTCTTTGGCATCTGTCACAGAGTTGCACCAAATGAGATGACCAAGGTGGGGATCCCTGAATGCCTGAAGGAATTTAGCAGATGACAACCTTCTTCTCATTAACATCTTTATTATGGGCCTATTCAAGGCTGGTTCTGTCACTTAGGGACAGGGGTGGGCAGGGCATGGCATGGGGTGATTTCGTGTGATGTGACCATTTGCAAACACAGGCTGTGCCGTTGCCTCTGCTATGAAGAGGCACAGGCTGGTCTCTGGAGCATCTCAGGGGCGTAACTGTCTGAGAAGCTGTCCACAGGAAACATTGCAAGCGTTGATGACTAAGAAAGTGGAATGTTTGGCTCCTTACCATGTCATGTTTTTGACCTTCCTCAAAAGAGAATGAAAAAAAGGGATGACGTTAGAAAATTTTTAAAAATTTTTTCTCTGTTTTTAATAATTCCATTGGCTTTATCTAGCATCTCTTGCTCTCCTGCAGGGTGAATATGACAGTCCAGGGGATGACATGAATGACAGGAAGGTAAGCTGGCTTCATGCTGTACTGAGTGCTTTGTGCACAGAAGACCATGCATGGGTGTGGGACTAGGTAGAAGTGTCCTAAGTGTTCGATTTATCTGCTTGTATATTTTCAGCAGTTCTTTCACAGTTCCCTGCCCCCTGGGCACTTAGAAATATGAGGTCCGCTTCTGGTTACTGACACAATTGTGTGCATGGGGTGCTGCTGGTATTTAGTGTCTGGTGGGTCAGCTGTGCTAATCATCTCACACAAAACCGTTATCCCATTTCCTGATGAGAAGAGGGCCTTCATTGAGAAACAGTGAAAATCCAGATTTCTTAAATTATAGATGGGGAAGCTGACACACAGAAATATTGAGCACCTTGCCCTTGATAACACTGTCATAATAAACGGAAATAGGGCTTGGAATACGCCTGACTCCCATATCCTGCTAAAAATGTATTATTATCCATGCCACTATCTTTTTTGGGGAGTGGGGTCATCTTTAAGTTATTCTTTTTATCCCATAGGCAGACAAGTGGGGGATTGCTGTCCCCAAATTTCAAATGAGAACTGTGGGGGAGAGGGAGGCTCATTCATGTGCAGCTAGGAATTAGAGGTTATAGTTCTGGGAGGGAATTAGAGGTTATAGTCTGGGGAGGTTATAGTTCAGGTCATCCCTTGGAAGGGTCTCTCCTATGCCAGTCATGGCTCCCACATGGACAGCTCTCTCCCCAGCCCTCCACTCAGCTCCCATTTCTTCTGTTTGCTGGTGCTCTGGGAATGTGGGTGTGTCCCTTTCCCTGCCATGGCCTGGTGCTCTAAGGATCACACAGCCTCCTCAGAGGTGACTGCCCCTCCTGGCTGTCAAGGCCCTCATGCTGTCCTCCCTCGAAGCTTCCCCCAGCCTTCAGCAGCTCTGGTGAGCAGCAGAAGGTGGGCAAGGGCAGGAGGGGTGAGGAATTGAAGCCCAAGAAGTTTCCCTCCCCCCAATTCTGTTGTCTGGAAAATCGTTCATCCCCCAAGTTGCCTTTAGAGCAGCCTTCTTTTTATCCTGCCTATTAGTCCCTGTTATGAAGTGTTAAGTATTAAAAACATAAAAGGTCTTTTCCAGAAATACTGCTGTGATTGCTTACACATGTCCCTTCTCTGCCTGCCCAGGGAATCTGCTCTAGTATTTCGATGTCTTAACCTCATCTGTTTTCTATCTGATGCTAATAGTCTCGGTGTTTAATTTCCTGAAAAGTCCCGGATCAGATTTAAAGGAAAAAGAGGAAGCATTTCTCCCCACATCTCACCTCACTCACCCCAACCATTTTTTGTCCTCCCACTCTCTGATTTCACATTCCTCCCCTTTAAAGAGTGATCACCACCACTGCCCACCTAAGAAACCTCCTGCTGGGTGGGTGTTGACCCAGCCTGTCAAGGTGGAGCACTTTATAGGAACATTCCAGGGACCAGAAACACACAGCAACTCATGGGAGAAATCAGCCAGCCCTCTGTTATCATCACAGAGGCAGAGAGAAGCAAATTGTATACTATCCAAACTATGTGTGTATTTGTCTTTGCAATGGTATTATATTAGCAACAAAATCTTTTGTCAGAGCAGTTTCCTCCCAGAAAACGTTTTCCTTAGGTCGATAGAATTATTTCCAGTGCACAACCCAACTGGGCAAATGGGCAGAATCTGGGAGGCAGGGAGAGGGCAGCCAGGATGAAGATACATCTTGGTGCCTGATTCCCATAGTTTATGTGAAAACGATGCTCAGTAAAGGTGGACCAGTGTCCTTGAAAGACAAGAGGCTCCTTTCTTGTGGCTTTCCCTTGGGTTTGCTGGTAAGTCCTTGGTATCCTTGTTTTCCTCTGCCAGGGTCACAGTTAGGGAAATACACGTTGCAGTGATGGGGGATAAGAGAAACCATGAGCTAGAGTCAAAGCTTTTTTCTGTCCATTTGGGTTGGGAAATATATCCAGCAAGGTAAGGAAATTGGTTCCCATGCCCATAAATATTTGTCAAGTCAGGACTAAAACCTTGGTGTCAAAAATCCCAGCCAGAGCTCCACAGCTGGGTAAACACAGCTTCTTGTATATGGTGAGGGGAACGTTCCTTCCTGCAGTTTCAGTGGTAAATGGGTGGGGCCTAGAGGTATCCTAGAAAGGAAAGAGCCAAAACCTCTGAATATGTGCAGTATATTTATTTGTTGTTTATCACACTGTAATAGTCTACTGTTTGTCAGGAGGGCTGCAGGAAGGATGTGGGTTGGAGTGCAAGGGAGAACCCTTGACTTTGTTGCTGGGGGATGTGGAGAAGGTTGGAGGCTGCAGTATGGGATGGCCTCTCTGGGGAGACTTTGCAGGGATATCTCAGGCTGCCCATCCTGCCAGGACCTGGGTGTTCTCCTTTACTCTTCTCTGCAATATGTGGCTATTCCCATGATCTCCCGGAGGCCCAGGCTCCTTGTAGGCAGATCCCAGGCAAGCCCAAAGGCCCCTGAGAATGCAGCCTCCTTCCCCCACAGCTTGCCTCAAGCAGCTGTGCAGTCTCAGTGGACTCGGCCCCAGCTAGCGTCTGGAGGGCTCTCTCTCTTCCTAACCCTGGAGGGTAATTGAAAGGAGGCTCTCTCCCTCTGGAGAACAGGGGTTTCCCACCTTTCTAGAAAGCAGGGCAGCAGGAAGAAGGAGCAGCATGGGTGTGGATGGGTCCCTCCTGGCAGCCAGCAGACACCTGATTCCACATCAGCCAGACCTGCGTGGTTTTCTCAAGCTTCCCGTGGAAGTGACTGTTGGCATCGTCTGAGGGCAGCCTGACCTTCACTGGCTCCAGTGGCTTCCCACCCACTGACAGGGGGAAACCCAAGGCACAACACTGGAATGATTTTAAATCCTTGGTCCTGGATTTTTCAGATTTTTACAAGTGATTGTCTTCTCTAGTGGACAATTACAAAGTGACCCACTACAAGGTGTGTGAAGATAGTCTGTCTTTCTGACAAAAAGGTACTTGTGTTGTTTTCACATAATTTCTTGGTTTCACTTGAATTTTTCTCTTCCTGTACAACTTCCATTGTACTATTAAAGGAAAAGACCAAGATAGTTGAAGCGACTTGCCAAAAATTCCAACAGATCACAGCAGGATCTGGGCATAGAATTCCATTCTCTCCCATTCAGGTCTACCCTGTCCCATCAGTGCCTCTGAGCTGGCTGCAGTGGGCATCTTTCTGCCTGTTGCAGGTCCAGCTGCTCCCCGAGGAGCTTGTGGACAGAGGGCCAGCAGTCTCAGACACCTTGCTGTGCTCTGGCATTGTGAAAGGAACAGCTGGGTTCCTTTACAGTCTCAGGAAATGTTATACTGAAACCAAGTGATTCACTGTCAAATGTGATTCCTGGGGAGCAGGGCTGGCCACTTGTATGCTGTGACCCATCAGATGGGATGGTCCGTGAGGGCTGTTGCTTCCTGCCATCAAAGTCTGAGGGGAGACTGACAAGCCTGAAATGACCCCTGGTGCCCCCCAGAGTAAGGCACTGTCTGTGGAGAAGGAGCTGCAGACCTTCCTTGATCTGCTTCCAGGCATGGCCAGTTGGTAAGAGGACATGCTGTAGTTCTAAGCAACAAAGTGGATTTGCTCAGTGCTTCGTTAGAAAATTCTAGATTCTGAAACATTAAAGGGATTGTCACAAGTTACTGTGGTTGTCCTTCTGAACTTTCCTTATGCCACTCTCATCCCTATGGGGCAGAGACTCCACAGCATGCCTCCCTTCACCCTGACTACTAGTCTGTTCCGGGACCCTGGAACCCAGGGTTAGCATGATCCACTTGGTCTCTAACTATGTGTGATTAAATGTTTGTAGAGGTAGAGGAGGGTCTGTAGCACTCTGTACCCCTCTTCCTGCCTTCCCTGCAAGGATGTAGGAGCTGGCCTGGACAGAGCCACATGGGTGTCCAGCCCTCGGATTTGCTGCTTTGTAACTCTGGCTCTCCCACAGGGGCCACCTAATGATTTCCTCCTCTGTGTCCATCTAACCTGTTTGCTTCAAGCTCAAAGAGCTCTCTTGGCGCATCCTCACTCTATCTGCAAACTTATGGATACAATTCTGTGCTTAGAGGGTATCACACTGATAAAGGCACTTTCTGGAGGTTTTTTATAGCAGGCCTGGGATCCCACCAGGGGTAAGTCCTGTGAGCTTGGCTCAGTTTAGGCCCGAGCCAACTGGGCCATATGAGCTTCCTGGAGCATTTCTAGTTTTTCCTTTCAGGGCAGTGACAGGTAGATGTTCTGAGGCTCAGGTTTTGTCCAGACAGGTGACTTTGGAGAGGAATTTTCTCTAGAGGGCAGAGCCTTTGAGGCAGGTAGTGACGTCCCACAGCCCTCAAGGGAGGACTTTGCCTGTATCTCCTGATGCAAGCTGGCCTCCCTTCAGGCCACAAATGATGTCACCATGACAACCAGGTGCTGGTGAGTCCAGGATTTACACTGGGGAGAGAGAATAAAAACCCAGGACAGTACAAATGCCTAAGATGAGGGGGGAAAGGGATGTAATAATAACAATAAAATTAGTAGATGCCACCTACCTGAATGAGCATTGCCAAAACTCATGAACTCAGATCCATTATACACATTGCAACCCCCTTTTGTATCTGGGTTTCCTACTTTGCACATGGTGGTAACAGTGGGTGCAGTTTCCTCTCCCAGGGTCAGTGTAGTTTCTGGTACTGTTTTTGGCTGTTGGGAGACATTATGATAATAATAAAAGTGTATAGGCATTAAGTAGGAATGCCAGTTCTTATTTCAGTTTTCATATCATGTCAGAAGATTCTCAGATGAAAGGATGCTTCCTGTAGGTTTGATGCTGAACTGGGTATACTAAATACCTCATGAGAGTAGCTTTTTCTTGACAGAATTCCAGGTGTGATATATAAAGAGATGTGATGTAGAAGGAGATTAAAGAGTAGAGAAAAACAAGGTAGCAAGTGTGTTATAAATCTGTCAACTGCAGATATATAATTTGATTCTGCACTAGTACCTGTTCAGCATGGCCATCTAGATGATGTCCAATGATGGTTTATTACAAAATTACTTCATTTATTCGTGGATAACCCATGAAGCTCGCTGGTCAGGTACTTAAACTAAAATGTGGTTTGCCCTTGGGACTGATACACAGGTTTGTCCACATGCCAATCATGCTAAAGTTGCTGTGAAATCATCACCAGAGGGCATGGCCTGATATGTTTGGTGCATCATTTTCTCCATTATTCCCTAGAATGTGTTCCACTCAAGTTTAACACCCACCCTTCCACTGAAACCACTCTTGTCAAAGTCACCAGTGACCTTGGATCACTGAATCCAGTGGTTGCTTCTGCATCCTCATCTGACCTGATCCATCAGCAGTGTTTGGCACAACTGGTCATTTTCTTCTCATTGAAACTCATTATTTCTTGGCTTCCTAGACCCCACACACTTGTGGTTCTCTTCCACATCACTGGATACTCCTCTGTCTCCTTTGCTCTTCTTCATTCTCCCCTTGAGCACTAAACATTGGGGCACCAGGCCCAGAAGTCAGGCCTCTTCTCTACTCTCCCTTCCCTGGTGATTGCACCCATAGCTTAATGACTTTATAAATCATCTCTTCTCCCTTTAACTCCAAATTTGTATCTCCAGTTTGAACTCCCCTTTAAACTCTAGACTTTTACAGATAGCTACTTACTCAATATCCCTAAAGGGCATTGTAGATAAACACATCTCAAACTGAAGTTTTGGTTCCACCATTCTTGACCTATTTTTTTTATCATGGTCTTACCCCCTTCAGTAAATAGAATCACCATTTACTCAATTATTCATGTCAAGTTCTCATTTTCTTTCATTCCATATCCAACCCAACAGTGAATCTTATTGACTCCACCTTTAAAATAGAAGCAGAATCAACCACTTCTTGCTACTTCTCCCACTACCTTCATGGTTCATGGTATTGTCAACTCTCCCCTGGACCATTCCAATAGCCCCCCTATGCGTCCAGCCCTCGGCCTATCCTCCCCCAGCAGCCAGAGTGAACTATCTACAGTCTAAATCAGATCATTTTCCCCTCATTGCTGCAAATCTCCTAATGGCTTCTTTCAAAGTCCAAAGATTTGAGCATAGCCTACAAGCCTCTGAATGGCCACCACAGTACTTTCTGACATTATCTCCCATTATTGTCTCCTTATTCTTCCCAGGACACACCATGTGTACTATTTTTTAGGGTCTTTGCCCAAGAAGAGTGTTCTTTTGCCTGGAACATTTCCTCACTTCCTTTAGGTCTCAGCTCAAATGTCCCCCCTTCAGAGAGGCTTTCCCTTGCACTTCTATCTAAAATAGTACCAACCCCACTCCCTTCTTTCATATTCTACTCCCTCACTTTGATTTATTTTTCTTCATGGCATTTATAAGTCTTTTATGTTTATATTAAATTTGTACCCACACACCAGAGTGTAAACTCCATGAGAGCAGCAACTTTGTTTGGTTTGCTGCTGTATCCAGTGTCTGGACAGTGCCTGGCGGAGAGCAGATGTTCGATAAATACTTGTTAAATGAGTGAATGAATGCCAGAGCTCATTATTCAATCATAAATGAATGCCAGAGCTCATTTCACTGGACTAAGCAAGACAAGGGAATAAAGAAGGTGGAATTGTGATGACTAGGTGTAGCATTGCCTTGGAGTGTGATATTATTTAAGGAAGAAGTCAGTGCATATAGCCTCCTGCCTTTGGACATCTCCCTTGAGGATGTTTCATGAGAATTTTCCTAGAAATTGGACTTTGGAAATTCAATTTTGACTTTCTTGTCATCTAAATTAAGCTATTAGGGTGGCTTTGGAGGGTAAAATCTTGACTTTCTAGGATAGACAAACGTTGCTCCCCCATTCTAATCTGTTTCCCTGTTTTTCTTGTTTAGCTGCTCTATCAAGAATGGGCACGCTACGGAGTGTTTTATAAGTTTCAACCTATTGACCTCATCAGGTAAGATGTGGGAGGATATTCTTGGAAAGATTCTAGAGATGTAAGTCCTGAAAGATATCTGTCAACTGTCGTAGCTCCTGGCAGAGCACTGGTCAAGCAGAGGGGTCTGCTTTGCTAGGTTGTATTATTTCCATGTTGTGTCTTATGGATGGGGAGGCAGCTCAGGGACTGGAGGGAGAACAGAATCTGTGTGACGTAGCAGATAATGTAGATTGATACACTATGACTTCCGTCTTGAGGTCCTTCAGCACTATGGTCTCTCCCTGCCCGCTCTTTTGTAGGGAGGGAGGGGCATATGGATTTATATCTCTTATTATTGTCCCTCAATATTTGGTTGAAGCAGATCCTTGGGTTATGGCCAAATGACACCGTGTTGACCAAGAAAAGGGAAGACCTGGAAAATCACACTAGGAATAAGCTGACTGGCCTGAGAGGGAATGTGGGCTTTTTATGGCTTCTCCAAATTAGAAGGGAGGGAAGACTGGGTCCTGGTGTCCCTTCCTTCAGTGCTGTCCCTAAAATGATGCTCTGTTACCTTAAGAATTTCCCCAGCTTCTATAGAACTTTGGTGAATAGCGCTTTTAAAGAACTTACTAGAATGCAGTAAGTCTGGCTAGCATAAATTGAGTTGAGGACTCTAGAAACTCAATGAGTTCTTTGAGTTCAGCCTCTTTCCCAACTGGAACATTGGGAGGCAACACTGTCAAGTGGGAAAACACTGAGCTGAGAGTTTGGAGACTGGGTTCTCGGCCAGGCCCAGCCACTAGGGGCTCTATGTTTCTTTGGGTAAGTCACGGTCCCTCTTTGGTCTTCAGGATCCTCGTTGTCCCAAACTGGGAGGCTGAACTGAGGGATCTGTGAGGATACTTGCTAGAGCATGCTTATTTGGAAGAGATGACTCTCAGCCCATGACCGAAATCATGGACTCACTACCACAGCGACACTGTGGCTCTTCTAATGAACTAATTAATCAGCACACAAACATGGAGAGTGTTCCTGGCTGATTGCCCTGGGCTGGGACTGTGAGAAGGGCAGGAGCCAGAAGGATTGAGTCCAGAGGGAGGAATTCCAGCTTCTTCTTGGAAGAAGAAAGCAGCTGGGGGGCCACAGTTTGGGCAGGTTCACCTCCCACACAGAGATGTGAGGGCCTTCCCAGGGAACTGGGAGCTCGGTTGGACGACTCTTGACAACAGGTGTTTGTTCCAGCTGAAAACCGTTAACCGAAGTGCAGTTAACGGTTGGGTCAGGAAGCAGGGCCACTGGGTGCCTGTGACCGAGGCTCCCTCATCCAGCACCTCCCAGGCCCTGGCTGCCTTTTATGATGCAAGGGCCACCTAGACTGTTCTCTGGGCCACACCAAGGCTGCTTCCTCCATGCCTGATGGGCTTTGATCTTCCTCTCTGCGTCTCAAGTGGCCACCCACTCTGTCGCCTGTTTTCTGCAACTACTCATTTGTTTTTAAAAAATATGATTAAAAAAATTAAAAATTCTCCTTACCAGAGAGCCTGGTCTTTTCCCCAGAGACTTCAGGTGACTGCCCGCCAGCTAAGTGGGAAATGGCTCCAATATGCACTCGGCTTTGGCCACCAAAGCAGCCTCACCTGCAGGGGAAGAATTGCCTTTGGAGCAGAGCCCTGCTCTGGGGCCTGGCGGTTCCTGAGCACAGAGAGCTCAAATCTGTCTAGACGGGGCATGGTGCACTGTGGAGCTGGAGGCTGGCCACTGCTCCTCACGGATCAGATGGCTAGGGAGCTCCCACAGCCCTGGGCTAGGCCAGCAGCTGGGCCAGGACTGGGAGAAGGCTGCAGCCTCAGGCATCAGTCAGATACTGGCTGGAGGGAATGGACACTGGGTAGTGTGTGTGTGGGGAGTTGTTTACCCAGTGATACAAGGAACTCCCTGACCTCACGGGGCTGCTGGAAAGAGAGACATTGACAATAATGGGGAGAGAGGGAAGGGGCAGGGGCTTTAGGGGCAAAGGTGGTTAAACAGAGACAGAGAAGCCAAGAAAAGGCAGCTGGAGGGCTCCTAAAAAGAAACCTGGGGTGGAGGGGTGGAAAACAGCTATACACAGTCGGCAGGTGCCACCCTAACCTTGTTTCACACTCTCTTCCGAATGGCCCATCTCGGTTTCTCTGATCCTGTCAAAGTCGCCTCCTTTATCCTCGTACCTGCCCTCTCTCTCACTGCCCACTTCCCAGTCTGATACCACGCCCAGGGGCTTCTTCAGCACTGGTTCTCTCTTCCTTTACTTCTCTGTCTTTCCTGCCGCCAGCTGTCAGGGCTGCCTTCCCTGAGCCACTGCTGGCCCCACACTGTGACGGGGCTGTTCCATTACTACTTACTAATGTGAATTCTACCCTCTTTGTGCCTCCCGTGGAAATTGTACCCATATGGTCTGTGTTGAAAGATGGACAGAAGCAGGGGAGTCTGGTACAAGTGGAGTGTAACTCATTCGAAGGCCTGGGAGAGGTATTTCCCCCCATCACCTTGAGCACTCGGCTCCTGTGGTACTCTAGTGCCCCCTCCCCACCCATGACAATCTTTTGGATCATGCTAAAGCACTGAGAGCTCATTGGGGGTGGGAGATCTGTTTGTATTTGGAAAGCCCCAGAACTAGGCGTCCTTCCTCTGCAGGCCTTCAAGCTTGAACTTGAGATTTGGAGTTAGAGGTTCCTTTCCCAGGTGGTGAAAGTGGGCAGAGGGGAGATGAGACGCCCTTCCCTGCACCCCTTGCCCCTGGCTGCTCCCGCTGCACCTTCAGTCATGCCCAGCAGGCTGCACTGTGAGACTGCTGATGTGTCTGTCTCTCCAGCCCAACAGGGCTCTCCACCTTTGCTCTGCTCTAGAAGCCTCTGGGCCTGCAGGCCTGCGCTGTGTGTGTGTGTGTGTGTGTGTGTGTGTGTGTGTGTGTGTGTAACAGTTGCCTGGAAAGTTCCCAGGTATCCAGCAGGGGCCCGCTCACAGCAGATTCTTCCGGGAACCTCCAGCCAGCAGCACCTGTGCCCTGGCAGAAACACCATTTGTGACTAAGACGATGAGGGACAGGATGTCTTAGCTGGAGGGAAATGGCTCTTCTAGTCCTTTAGGAGCCACATGAGGGTCCTTGCCACCAGGGGAGTAGATTTCTGCCTGTGCTGCTCTGGGCTCACACACCAACATCCCAGGAGGGAAATGGCCTTTATTTTCTGGGGAACCCTGGGTCCTGGGGCCTTTGGGGTTTGTACAGGTGCAACCCAGTGTCCATCAGGAACATGACCTGTCTTTTCACTAAAATTAATGTCTGCTCACAGGCTGATTTTCTTAGCTGGGAGGTTTTGATATGAATGAGACGAAACAGACTTTAAACATCTGAGTTTGATTTAGCTCCTAACTGTACTTTGCTGAAGTTGATGTGCAGAACGTTTACTTTTAAGCATCTGCAACTGCCTGCCTATGACAGACAGCATGAGGAAGAGGGGGTCCAGAAGTCTGCTAGGCTCAGGGGTGATTGCAGCATGCTGATTTGGGGAATTCACCAAAGGGATCACTCAAGGGCAGCATGCACCACAAGGAATCAGGAGTACAGCCTGGGGAGGGACCAGTGGCTCTCACTCACTCATTCCCACCTCCCACAGACCTCCTTCAGGGATGCCCACTTTATGAGTGAGGCTTCCTAAAAATCAGGGCATGAAACCTGTCCATGGGACAGCTCTGGAGTTCTCTTAGAAATGTCTGGCTTGAAATTTTGAGACATGACCATTTCCACAACAACCTCATATCGATGTCTACGGGATCGTATCATCTCAAGAGCCTCTGGGCATCATTTGTGGACAGCAAGAGTGGCATGTGCTGCCCCCTTCCCCCCACTCCCATACATATCTCTACCTTCTTAGACTCCCAGCCCTCTCCAGCCCCACCCATAGGGGATCTATCCAGGATCCTGGCATCACAGGAATTGGCTTTCCCTCCTCCTACTGCAAGGCAAATGGATGCCCTTGTTCTTGCCAGAGTTCTGTAGGATGTCTGAGAGAAGGCTGTGTGATTTGACCCATCCCTTTCAGTCGGTCTCTGGACCCCACTTATACCATCCTGAAGCGTGACCCATCCACTCCCTCCTGGAGGGAGATGGAGAGAGCCACATTCCTTCTTAGGAGGCTTCTCAGTGGGCCCCGCTGCTTTGGGGGAGGGAAAGGGGAGGAAAAAATGTTAATCAGCCTGTGATTAATTATTTCCTGAGCCCTGCTGCCTCCTCCTTGATCCTTCCCTGGGATTTATAAAGGCCATTCAGCTCAATGCAATAAATATTTACTGACGCACACAGTGAGCAAGCCTCTGTGCTCGGAAACATGGGTGGTGCAGCAATAAATAAAGTGAAGTTTGTGCCCTTAGGATCTATCAGTTTTGTAGAAAGACGGACATGCAAGAGAGGGTGAAGTGAGGGCTTTTAAGGACTATAAGTATAAACATGATAATATAGGACAACAGAGGAAGAGTGATTGCTACTAACACAATATGGGAGGACTTTCTGGAAGAGGTGGCACTTGAATTAGAAATGTTGCTTTCTGAAGGACTGAAGTTAAATGTCCTGAATGTGTCTCCATTGCCAGCTTGGGCTGTCCTGTGTATGGATTTCCTGTGTAGCTTGATATTGGTGGCCAGAAATCACATTTGACCCAAAGTCTGATTCTTCTGACTGTTGACTGGGAGTGGTAAGATCGAAAACTTGACTTGCAAACCTCACCTGTATGGATTCTGTGCTAGCCTGGTCCATGTACCTTGATCTGCACTGTAAGTTAGCAGAGAATCCAGGGTTGCAAAGAGGTGAGTCTGGATCCAAGAGAGGAGGCTAAGGTGATGTGAAGTGTGGGACTAGCACCTTGGTATTTACACAGGCCTCAGCACTTGAAGCATTAGATTTAGCTGGGAAGTATTTTGCAGGCTGGAAAGAAATATCTTACGACCCTGAAGATTATTTTTCTTCTATCCCTGAGGGGGTGGGAGTAGAGTTGACCAAGAAA